TTAGTTATAATAAGTGCTTTCTATTCAAGTTTGGTCAAGTATATGAATATTTTAGTTCATACAAACCCGTTGACCACTTGGTCAACAATAGACACATGTTTACTCTGTTAGACTTTCACTAATCTTTTATATAATATTGTAGGACTGTACTATTATATTATGTATTTGAAGTAAGTTTACAAACATAATGAAAGTTGGTCGATAAAAGAGTGTAAAACATTCGCTTTTAATAGTTATAAAGTAGACATGTTTATTCGCGTCAGGACGTTTAGAACTATTCTTTAATGGCCAAACTATTGATTCCTAATGAAGAAATGTGGAAGCTAGAATCGGCTTCAACTCTCACATATTGTCAGATATAATTAATCAGTTTCAATAAAGCGATGGTAACGGGATACCTGTGTAACCATGGCTCTAAAACAGGACAGTTATTGTGGTTTTCTACAGCGTGGGCAGACTAGATCATTTTCACTTTTATTCATTTCTTCATTTCGGTGTTATTATATCAAATTATATTACAATATAATATACATCATGGTATTTGCAACGTCATAGTGTCTTAAATAATGGACATAAGCCTATTAAAGTGACATTATGCTCATGTAAAGGTATATATTGAGTGAACAAGTGAAAGTCAACATAAGTTTAGATTTTGTCATTATGACAATTCCTTTCAATTTTGTAATTTGCTTCGAATAAACGATAAATAACTCATGAAGCCCAAGGCAAATGTACAACGAAATCTACCTGTAACGTTCAAATTATTATAGAAGTGGGACAGTCTTATATTTTAGGTAGATTTATATTTTATTCTAAACAATTTCCAACATCACCAGTTGGTCAAGCATCATTATAACAGTCAATCTTTTGAAATATATACAAATGTAGTCAGTTTAGTTACTCTTGACAATGAAAAAATATGAACGTAACGCCATTTTAACTTTGCATCAAACTTAATATAATATTATCTCATTTCTTTTTGCTTTTTTGCTGCACACATAATTATGTTACTTTGTGCTTTTTTTTCGACTTCAAACAGATCTTTGCTACGAATTTGATCCAACAAGTAAGAGATACTTTCTTCATTTTTTAAACATTTAAATTCATATTCTTTCTCCATTTGAACGGTGCGTTTACAAATGAGCCGCGTCACGACAAAACCAACATGATGGGTTTGCGACCAGCATGGATCCAGACCAGCCTGCACATCCGCGCAGTCTGATCAGGATCCATGCTGTTCAGTTTCACTACTTGTTATAGGGTTTGTAACCGAACAGCATGGACCCTGATCAGACTGTGCGGATGCGCAGGCTGGTCTTGATCCATGCTGGTCGCAAATGCATTATGTTGGTTTTGTCGTGACGCGGCTCATCTGTTACTGACAACATGTAACTATATCAGCAACATCGACAACAACAACAATACAATAGTGACATAAAGAAAATAATGTCAATATATGACGAGCTGCAGTGATTGGCTGGAGGCGGCTGCAGATTTTGACATTCCATGTTTATTTAATCTACAAGATTTAAATCTTGATATAAGATCTGAGAAGTATAAAGTCACACGGTAAAAAGTTTCAGTATGTTTGATTTTATCGTCTATTTATTAATAATCGATCGATCACATGTATTTGCCGAAATGATTATTAATCCGCGAAATGTTTGTTATTCTTAATTGAACGCCCACTGTAGTGAAAGTTTTTGTTGTAAAATTTTCTTTTTATATAGGGAAGGATAAATTTCGAAATCCCACACCGGTACGCGATATGTGTATAAATTCCGTATTTGAAAAATGCATTTTATTTTACAAACGCTGTCTATTAGTCAAAATCAAAGTTAAGTTTAAAGGTAAGGTTTACTCTGTTCATTCTCACATTTTGAAGTTTTTACTGCCGTGTCATTTTACAGGGCTTATAGAGAATGCTCCTCGTTATTTTGACAGTGTGGGCCAACACAGGAGGCGATCTGGAGTTACCGTAGACATGTCGTTAGGTTGAAAATTAACGTGTGAAAGTCCAACTGTTGCATTGAACTCTTTCTACGAAAGCGTACAAGAGTCATCATTTTCTTTTACGAACGGGTACATATACATGTATTTGGCTAAATAATAACAAACTATTAGAAAATGTCTGCGTCCCGTACAACAATATCTAGTGCATGTTCTGTTTCAATGATCTGCATTTATGTGTACGTATTTATAGTGGATAAGATGCGTTTGTCAAGACGAAATATGCCACACAGCAAATCTGTTTGTTTTATCCCTAAGTTGAGATTTTTTACTTAAGAATTGCGTTTTACATGTATTTCATTTACACCACATAACGGATGAATACGAACAGAATTGTATTTTTACAATCATAACCTTGTATCATCCCACAAAGTGAAAATATCCATAGTTAAATTACATGTAGAATTACAGATGTACATATTCAGCTCACATTGCCTTGGTACATGGTAAATTTGGGAATTTTTGGCCGTCTGTTGCAGTTCTCAACAAAACTCCATTATATTGTATGAAATATTAATTAATATTTGTCAAATATAAATATTCCCTGTCTTGAAAGAAGAAAAGCAAACAATTCACCGTATGTGTTTGTTTTGGGTAGATTTAAACTTCTTGAATATTTAATCAAATTCAAATACAAAAAAAAATACCAATATGCTCTTACAATAAATTATTCAAAACGAAAGTTTACACCATTCCCCCTACAACTACAACGGAAAGTTCCTTTTCAATCATGAGGTTGACACCACGACCCTCGGTCCATGGTACATATTGTCCTTGATTCAAGGGACTGATAAAGTTCGATTCGAGGGAATGATACATTTTGAAACAAGGGCATTGGTGCAATACTAAGTTCTTTTTTTTGTATTTGATAGGTAAAGTTACATGCATATTTTGAAAATAATACATTATCATAATCCTTCCTTTGTTTGAAATTCTATCATTTTTCACAAAAAAAATGTTAACTGTTCATCTGAGCCGTCAAGCCAGTAATTATATCAAGCAGTTTATAATATGACTAATTTAAACTTTAACACTTTCTTGTTGAACTTCTATATAGCAACTAGGCCTTTTAATCTTCAGCGCTATCATATTTACTAGTATGTTTTATATAAAAAAGAAATGAAAAATAACCAGTTTGAAAATACATGGTTTTATATTTTGTTGAAACGTTTGTTCCTACATTCTCAATCGCTCTTAATAAAGATTAGTCTTGAAAGGTATATAAGCCATAACCGCCTAGAACCGGATGTAGTAAACATATAGCCATGCCATACTGCACATCCGTTTAGACTAACCAGCCTCTTTACTGTTTGCAGCTCAAATTTTGTAGTTAAATATTGAAATATCTTTTGATTTCTTATGAATATTTAAAACTCAAAAAGGAGGAAATTCATTACAGAAAATCAACTCGTAAAAGGTTAATTATATTTCTAATTTTGATTAAATTAATTAACGGAAAGTCTTAAGCACTTGGGAAACGAAAAGGGAAAATACAACATATTTTCCTTCTCTAAAATGACTTATACATGTAATTCATATGCATTAAAATATGATAAAAATAAAAATAAAATGAAATTGTTATGCATTATATATATATACGTATGTTCTAGATTTCTTCAATGGATACCCACTGTGTTACATTCGACTTGAAAACGTATTAGTTGCGCTGTCCATTGAAACATGTCCTAGTCTATTTATGTAAATTTTCTTTTATATATTCTAACTTTTTTGAAAATAACTCGCACTGAATATTTTCAATGGTGAATATTGTACCTGACCAACCAAGCGTAAAGATGAAAAGTTGTGTTTTTTTTTGTAGCATTACAAATCACTTCAAAAAGTGATATAGAAGAAGTCGCCCACGTTAATAAGCTTCACGAGTCCTATTTTATAAACTATATAATGTAGAATGGAACTTTGAAAAAACAAAACAAAATAAAAACGAAATGATTTTTTGAATGCAAGCTTGAAACCCTGGTGAAGCAAAGTTCTCTATGTATCAGAATGAAACTATTATAGCCAAAAATCTTGATGGTAAAAGGGCTTGTTTCATACCTTGTCCGATCCATGTTTTGCATCAAAAATACATGTCAAAATAATAATTTTAAAAAAGTATCTGTATCGTGCGCGTCTGACGTCACACAATGTGCGCACGATGTCAAACCACAACACATTGCATTCGTATTTGATATTAAAAAAATCACATGCATATTTATTTTTTTTTAATACTTGCATCATATATTTTCCAATTTAATGTGTGTGTGTTTGGGTTTGTTTACCCTCGCCACCGGAAACCTAAATTTAGGGGATCTGTTGTCTGTTTACTAAATGTTATATAAGTACATGTGTTACGTGCATACCATATCCCTCATAACAGGGTCGTCTCTATGTACGACCTGTGTCATGGGAGGAAGATGGGATAATCCCATTCTAAGTTCTAGGTTCTATGTTCTAAAATTATTTTTGAAATGGTTCTATTATTATTATAATGACTAGACTGTCTTACGGTTAGACGTTATTTCTAATACTGTGATTTAGACATCATAACCGAGAAAATAATGAACGAAAGGATACTTGTATAAATGATGGTACTTGCCGCCACTTAATTACTGTTAATTCATATTGTATCTGTACGAGTTCGTGCACATTGTTAAAATGTCCATTAATTTGATTTTGTTGTAAGCATCACATCGAGAATTTATTTTGCCTTATTAAAGATAAAGTGCAATGAAATGCAGTGAAAACCTTTAGAAACTTTGTAATTTTGAATCTTGCACAGTTAAGACATACAACTTAATAAAAAAATTTATATTATATTTCACTTTATGAACTAATTTTAAAGTTTATTATTGTAAAACCAGGAAATGTGGTTGACACCCAGTTTCTATTTTGCATTAAAACCTTCATTCTTCTCTTTCATAAACGGAAATTATTTATTTCCCTGTAAACAGCATACACATTTTTTTATTCTATTTTTTGTGTGTTTTCAGCGAAGACCTAAAAGCGGAGAGCAATACCGACAACAGCTTTGACAGAAATAACAACAACAATGAAGACGACGACGAAGAAGAGGGCGACGACGGAATTGTTAAGACAAACAACACCAACAATGTCGCCGAAAAACAACCTAATTCTACTGATGGTCCCCCGGACGACATCCGTGCATTTTATGGACATCCTCTCACAGCGGCAACAGCGTCCTCGAATGATGCCGACACGCATGCGTCAGCTGTTGCCCTGCTTCACGAATACATCAACCTTCCTGCATTGGATAGAAGCGGGATGAAAATAGGCGACAAAATCAACTCTATATATGATATAATGAGGTAAATATAAGATCTTTAACGTATTTAAGTAAAGAAAGTTAATCTAAAAATAATCGAGCATATGTATTGAAGAAGTTACCTTCCTTTATATTTTACTACTTTTCAAGAGTAGATAATTCTGAGTGAGACGACGCTTTATATTGCCGAAGTTCTCTCCCTTCGTTTTATAGTTGTAACATTTCAACATTCATGCAAATCGGTGACGAGCAAAATATTGCAGTAGCAGTCTACAACCTAATTGTATATAATATTGCTATACAACGGGAATGCGTATTCTTTTATGAGATACGTTGGCCATATATTTTTGTTATTTCTTCTATCATAAACATTATATCGGATAGATAGAAGACAAGATAAAGCAATATACGATATGATCTTTTTGTTGAAAATCTGAAACTACCTAATACATCTTTAATATATCAACATCTTATTGTCGCAATATTTTGACATGCTATTTATCTCAATATATTTTATTTATAGGGGGTTTAATTGCGTGTGATCACATAACCTGAAAAATGTTGGTAGATGTTTTAGTCTATTCGCATTCCGACTTAAGTTTTCAAATGAAAAAAATAATTACATATAACCAAAAAAAACCCCATATTGGTTACATTTTAATATATTTGTATTGTGTTAAAAAGTTTTAAAAAAGTAAAATGCCTTGTCAACATATTCCCGTTTTTTGTCCTGCTCAATATTAATATTTAGAAAACTTATTAAGTTAGCGCCTCGAAATTAAAGGTTAATATACGAAAAGCAACAATGTTAAGATGCTGTGCAATCGTCATAACCATTCATTTTTGTGTCGCCTCTACGGAGTAGTGGCGACATATAGGGATCACTTCTCCGTCGTCTGTCTGTCCGTCTGTCTGTCTGTCTGTCCGTCCGTCCGTCCGTCACAAAACTTGTCCGGACTACTCCTCATAAACTACTGGTGCAATTTCATCCAAACTTTACAGGAATGATCAGTACCAAGTCTAGTTGTGCATATTGTCAGGATTTTCCGGTTCAATGATTTTTGTCAGAGTTATGGCCCTTTAATAATTTTTAATTTTAAAGTTTGTCCGGACTACTTCTCTTATACCACTAATGCAATTTCAATGAAACTTTACAGGATTGATCTGTAGCTCAAGTCCTTGCGCATATTGCACGGGTTTTCCGGTTGAATGATTTTTGGCCGAGTTATGGCCCTTTGATAAAAAGGTTTCTTTTTCTGTGTGTTGCCAGATACACAAAAGCTTGTCCGGACTATTCCTCATAAACTACTGGTGCATTTTCATCCAAACTTTACAGGAATGATCAGTACCAAGTCTAGTTGTGCATATTGTCAGCATTTTCTGGTTCAATGATTTTTGTTTGAGTTATGGCCCTTTAATAATTATTATTTTTAAAGTTTGTCCAGACTACTTCTCTTATACCACTTATGCAATTTCAATGAAACTTTACAGGATTGATCTGTAGCTCAAGTCCTTGCGCATATTGCACGGGTTTTCCGGTTGAATGATTTTTGGCCGAGTTATGGCCCTTTGATAAAAAGGAGTTTTTTCTGTGTGTTGCCAGATACGCAAAAGCTTGTCCGGACTACTCCTCATAAACTACTGGTGCAATTTTATCCAAACTTTACAGGAATGATCAGTACAAAGTCTAGTTGTGCACTGTCCGTCTGTCTGTCCGTCTGTCACAAAATTTGTCCCAACATGAAATTGGCCATCATGAGGCGACACATGTGATTACTGATCGCTCTTGTATAATCAACTAAATTATAATTTTATGAATTAAGTGATTCATTGAGTCGACGTACTGGTGCAAACATTTATATATAGCATATTTCTCAAGAATTACTGAAGAACAGATGTGTGTATGTGTCACTGTGTGTATGGGGTTACAAAAATACCATATTGGCGAGAAAACAAAACTTGGATACTTGCTTATTATATACAGAGCATTTAAAGGACAACGAGCATCATTTATTAAACTAAATGTTTGATGATATGCTCATTTTTTTTAATTAAAAAGATTTATAAAGTACAATGATTTGAAAACTGTTATAGGAATCGACACATAACTTGGAATATTAAATTATCATGAGAATGACCGACAATTTAGAAGATTAAAATAAATAGTATAATTAAGTGAACAATTCTTATTTAGATGTTTTGGGTGTTCTAACTGGTATTCTCCTAAAAAGGTCCACCTTGGAAGTGGAAGCTAAAAATATGGCACGTGTACGACGCAAAAACGCCGGTTTTTAAAGAAATTTCAACGACAATATAGAAAATAACGCGACAGTGTTTGCAGACACTTAACTTGTAATTTCTAGGTTATTTTCTAATATAGTATATGTTTTTGCCGGTTTTCAGATAAATAGAATATAATGTATAGTATATGCTTATACATGCACATGTATATAATGATAAATTGAACACTTTTAATGTAAAAATCACTTGTACTTTAGACCTTGCCAGACTGATAAAACTATGGAGTGATTGATCATTGTAGGAGTTTATTGTAATACATTTAGAATTTCACTAACCGCTACTTCATCTTTTAAGTCAAAGTTAAATTTGGTATAAAATCTCCCATTTCAAGTGGACAAACAATATTTCTTATGCATATTCTAACAGTTCATATTTGATGTAGAACGAAAGCATGCTTCATGTGTATTTAAATTCTTCATTCCTTTAATTCTGTAGAGATGACGGGTCTTCTGCAAAAGTTGAAACCGGAAATGAGGGAGACGGTGATTACATGCACATGTTGCAGACGACACTAGCGTCGGAAGTTGACAAATTCTTTAACAGGGAATGTGGAGAAAACGCTACAATATCCATCATAACGGAAAATGGTGCTTGCCCTGTTACAGTTGCTGAAGAGGTTGCTCACGAGGTAAGATTTCCACGATTGTTAATTTTCACAAACGAGTTTAACATGTATAAATGTTTTAAATTTACCAAAGCAACTCTAATTGGTCTTTCGGTTTAAAAAGTGTTTTATTTGTAAATGAACTATTCAGAAATTTTAAGGACTCCTTTTCATGGAATAAGATTCAATACATTAGCTATACCAATCCAGGATAATTTCAAACAAACCAAATAAATGTCCCATTACTTTTTATTATGTTTTATGTTCTACGAAATGTGATGAAAGAGTTGAAAAGAAATCGTTATTGAAATTAATACTATTTGAAAAGCAAATATTCTGAATCATTATGTTTTTTAATTTGGGTATTCTGAAAATCAAGGTTAAAGAGAATATAATTATTTTACTCTGGGGCCATAAAGAGGAAAATAATCTGTTAGATTGGACAATCAGTTGACAAATTGAAAGGAGTAGTTATAGTGAATGAAGGAAAAATATAATGTATCTTAGGCCCAGGACCTATACGGAACTTATATCAGCCTTTGACTAAATCATTTTGGTGTGCCTTTCAGTGTTAAAAACCACACACATTTTGTGTTTATAAAAGAACTTGGTACAAACAGCAGACACAGACAAAGGTTAAAGGTCTAAAAAGTCTAAAACATTAAATTTATAAATCTTACATAGATATACAGGGCTGCGTTTCATAAAAAGTCCTAAGTTTATCCTTAGTCCTAGGACTTATGACTAACTTTAGTACTAACTTAAGACAGTTTGAATAAATATTTTTATCTTTAGTCAAAGGCTTGGACTTTAATTAAATTCATTTTCTTGAAAAAAGTTAAGAGATACAATGGCACACAGCTTCAACCCACAATTTGTTCATGCTTATCTACATGGCTTTTAAGAAATTCAACAGGTATTAACATTAGGAGTCATAAGAACAAATATGTTTCTGTTTTGATCTGATTAGAGCCTTCCATGAAACGCAACCCAGTATCATTACAACGGATAATATATGGAAACGATAACGAAATATACTCAGAATTATATTTAAAATCGATAGTAAGTGTGTTTTTAGCATGATATTGGTTAAAAGTGTTTGAACGCTACATTTTTAGGTTATTATTTTTCACAATAAAAGTGATTAATCTTAAGAAAAAAAACGGATGATTTGAAAATGCACACAAGTTGTTGCCTGAGACTTTCATCAACTGGTATAAAAATCTCGAAAATATCCAGTCTTTTAATCAGTAGAATGAATTGTATGAGTATGTACAACTTATTCAGATACGTGTTAAGTGGACCGTGAAATATTTCATTTTTATGGGTAAAGGAGAGTAAAGACACGGTTTCTGTTTCAAATTTAGCGTACTCGAGGCCATTTATTTTAGTTAAATTACCATTTTGTGTCATTATAAAATACGATGCGGTTCTTTCTTTAACCTTGAACACTGAAAGAAATATTGTCGGATATTTTACCTCGTCCTTTTTTACGTGAATAAAGCACGGAATTATAATTTTGGCATGATTTCCTTGACTATATTAGACTGTGTTACATATAATTTTTATCTAAGTGTTAAAGTTGTATTGTTAAGCGTTACGCGCTATTACACCGTCATTAAAGTGTACGGCGTTCAGATCAAAGTTATCTGTACAATCAGAATAGAGACATTACTTGTTTTAAAAGATATCACTTTGTCGTCTGCATACATTTAGTTAAATGAAGTGCAGTGAATTTAACATTGTCTTTTAAACTGTTGGACTATTTGGATTGTAAAACTAAAATGAGTAAGTTATATTATAAACATGGTTTTAGACCACGTCTATAGGAAGAAGGAAATTATGCATATTTGTCTATTTCAAGGACATGGGTGCAACTTAAATTAAAACATTTTATAAAGATTTTCATTTCTGTTTCTCTGCTTGCTTTAAATGAAACAAACTTCATATGATGCCATACTAGTTTTAATAGTTTACTAGTTTTGCCCTTGAACATTTCCTCTGCAATTTCTCACAAATATATTAAAAATCGTTGTAAAATATTCTTCTAAAGGATCGAATGCAGCAAAAAAAAATTGAGAAACATCTTCATCAAAAGAGAAAAACATTAAAAGGCGTCATCTGCACCAGTTTATATAAAATATTTCAGCTGTTTAAGTCTAACAAACACAATTACTTGTGTTAATATCATAACTGGTCGTTTTTTACTTTTTAACATTTTTGTGGCATTTATGCACAAATAGTCCACGAAAATATAAAACATGCATTAATACAGTGTTAAAACTGTCATTTTTATTTTTTGATTAAAAAGCCAAGCGTCAGCATGTAATAATCGTTGTCTTTATGAAACAAACCGACGGAAAAACTTGTATGTGAAACTAATAAATACTGTCGTGATATGGTCTTTTAAATCATAAATTCACATGCATATTTGCATCTTTATGGCAAACAGTTTCAAAATTGATATTTTTGTGGACGTGTGCGACCATGATAAAAATAAACCAGCTTTCGGCTATGATTTTATTAAACATTTGCCTGTATATGACCAGTTGCCAAATCGTATATAATGACACCATGTTCAACCAGGTGATATACCAGTATACATATCTGATCATTATATTTTCGGACAGATCCTCATCACTATTTAAAACATTGGTTTAAAGCACGTATTGCATATTCGTCATAATTTATAGTTGGCAGATAATTAGGTTTTAACGACATGTGGAAGGAAACAGAAGTCAAAATTAAGGCTTGTTAACTTTAAACAAATTGAGAGGTATTGAAATATCTTTGAAATTAAGACATAATAAGTAGTTCAATGTAACGGTAGATAAAATAGCTCAATAAAAGTTAAAGTAAAGGGCCGATTTTGTTTATTAATAATCTTTTGATATTTTAGGTTTGTGTAGAAACAAGTGGTCTACCAACAGACAATGTTGACGCAACAGAACTGTATGTAGCCGAACCAGTTCAATTAGTTCAAACTCTGGACAATACCACTTCAATATCTGATCCGAAATTACTGTCTATGGCAATGCCGAGTTTAGAAGAAAACATGCGCAGTAATAACATTCCCGTGCAGGCATGCAGCGCTACTAAAACATCTACGGTATCTGCGTCAATGCCATATGCATCGGAGAAAGTAAGACGCGCACGTGAACCGAAGGAACAAGTGAATGTAAAAACTCAAGAGATATCTAAAAAACTTGTGAAAGCTTTAACTGAAAAGATTATGAAAAGAATGAGTCAAAAGGATAATGAAACTATTAGTGAAGCATCGGAAATTGAATCAGCTGTTGCGAATCTGCCCCCTCAAGGGAGAGCCAGTGCTACTATAAATAACTTAGAATCACATATCAATGAAAGTGCTTCTGTAAATAAGGTTACTGTTGAACAGAATCATGAAACAATACTAGAAAATCTACCTGAAAATTTACCTATCATAGAGGCTGGAAACTTGGACGCATCACCTGTACCTGTTACAACATTTATATCATCTGGTCTCACATCATCTGCACCTCAACAATCATCTTCACCTTTGTCTCCTACCAAAGATTTAAAAAAATCACAAAATTGTACACAAACGAATTTAGTGAATGTTTCACAAACAATTGAAAGCGCGAGTGTCACACGAGTGTCCCCGCCAGTGTATTGTAAAAACAATGCAGCTGCGCATGCGCAAGCTCTTGTAACGAAACAATCTCAATTTATGAGACACAACTCCCTTCCGGCCTCAAATCAAAACAGTTATCAAGCTTATAATTCAAATACTGTATTAAACACTTGTCGTGCGCCAAATGGGGCACCTGCTCCCGTGTATTATTTCCCAGATGTAAGTAATGGATCATTTAATATATATCAAACCCAAGTTCGACCAACTATACCAGGGACCTCCGATTGTGACATCATGTTAGAGAGATATATACAGCAGCAGACACCTTACAGCCACGAAAATCCAAATTTAAGAGCACGTTGCAAAGATGGATATAGTCTTAAATCACCTGATAGTGGATTTTGTGAACCATGTGTGTCGCCGAGAGAACCAAATCTAGTGGTATGTCATTGTACTCCAAATGCTATAAAAATTCAGTTACTGAGATCTTTTTTGATACCATAGATAAGTTACTCTAGTTAAACATATCAAATTACTCTTGTTATTGTGCGAGAGACAGCATGCAAACAAAAGTTTTTGAAATTTTTTCATTGTACCTTTTTGACAGAGTTTTAAGCGTAACATCTTTTTATTCGTGTATGCTGTTTATTTTGCTGTGGTATGCGTTAAAATCTCGTAAAATAAAAAGTATCGTTTTGGTTAAATGAGAAATATGTTGAACTTGTTGGATTATTATTTTCAGCAATATTCAGATTCCTCAGATCTCAAGGAGTATGCCGATGGATTTGAAGACGAGGCTGAAAAGCGTGGAGGGAAGGTTGCAAAGCGACGGAAGTCGGCGCCACCCATGTACGTCAAACAATATTGGAATCCAATGGACAAAATGATGAAATCAAATGTTTTAAAATTGTAAGAGCAATTTTGTATCTAATTTATTACATTTTTTTTAGTTTTTTGTTTATACAGTTTATGTTAAAGGACAATCTGTGCAGCAGTAAATAATTACGTTTTACTCGCAAACATAAATATTTTGCCAATTTTGAGATATTTTGATTAACTGATGCACTTTAATATACGAGATTGTTCTACAAGTAGGAAGTGTGTAATTGTAATTGATAAAACTATTACCATTATGTATTGCTACAGACAAAATGTAAAATAAATTGCATTCCTATTTAGGGAGAAAGACCCTGCGGGTTACAAATATTTTTTGGATTGTCCCATATCAACTACACAGAGGATTGAAGAGGATAGAATAACATATCTAAACAAGGGTAAATTCCTACTCTATTACTATACACCGTACACATGTTTAAAAACGCACACAAAAAAACTTGAACATGTCATTTTAAAAGCTTTTTGTTTTTAAACTTGTTTAACAAGACAATTATTTCTATTTTCATTTTTTTGTCTTTTCGGAAGAGCTCCTGCATAGGTAAATGTTGTTTTTTGCAAACCAAGATATATTTGCCGATTTTAAAAATAGGCTGACAAGCTACAATTTAGTTAAGACATTAATGACAAATTTGTGCGTTATTTTCTCCACATTTAAAAAAGATAGATAGTAATCTGATTTTTGTATTTTCTAAAAAAAATGTCAGTTTTTTTACCAGTGACAATAACACTTAAAAGGTTTTATTCTTTTTTTCTGTGCATGTGTAAGTATTCAAATATGATGTTGTACGTTTTACAGGTCAGTATTATGGATTAACATTAGAGCATGATGGACAAAGGACAATTAAAAACCAAACGTTAAAGGTAACCGTTCTCTTTCCTACCAGACTGTACTCAATATAGTCCCACAAAGCACACATTTCACTACAATATTAAGTTAATTAGACAGGTCTCTCTTAAAAATAGTGATTTCTTTACTTTTCAGTACATAGCGACATATGTGTGATTTTAACAGCTCTAGTTGAAATTGTGTTAGGCAATTGCTGCACGTGTTTTACGATTTATGATATGACTTATTTTTCTCAGAGAACATTCTTATCTATTTTATTTCCTAGTGGTTTCAGAAAAAAATAATCATCTTTGACTTACTAATTAATATAACGTTTTAGCTTATTTGAATTTAAAACTACTATGTTTAGTATCAATACGTTTTGCATGATTGACATCTACTATTATTTTTCAGTCGGTAATTATGGTTGTATTTAGAGAAGATAAACATTTAGATGATGAGAGGAAAGCCTGGGAGTTCTGGCATAGTCGACAACACAGCTACAAACAACGTGTGATTGATATAGGTAAATAATATTTCTGTTTCTATCTACGTATAAACTGTTTCTCTATAATCATATACTGTTTCTCTCTAATTGTAAACTGTTTCTCTCTAATTATAAATTGTTTCTCTCTATTTATAAACTATTTTTCTCTATTTATAAACTGTTTTTGTCAAATTACAAACTGTTTCTCTCTAATTATAAACTGTTTCTGTCTAATAATAAACTGTTTCTCTCTAATTATAAACTGTTTCTCTTTAATTATAAACTGTTTCTCTCTAATTATAAACTGTTTCTCTCTAATTATAAACTGTTTCTCTCTAATTATATAAAATGATTCTCTCTAATTATAAACTGTTTTTCTCTAATTATATACTGTTTCTCTCTAATTAGAAACTGTTTCTCTCTAATTAAACTGTTTCTCTGTGATTATAAACGTGTGTCATAATTGGGGCGAATGTTTACATAATTTCATAAATTAAAAAAGAACGCTGGTTTACGTTCATTGGTCAGATAATTTAAATTTCAAGTTTTAGTTTGAGAAGTAGTTTCCGACGAAGGTTTGAATTGAACAAAACGTCTTAAATCTCTGAATACATGTTTATTCAAGAGATTTATGAGGAATGAGAGAAAGTGGGAACCTGAAAACAATGCAAAGGGAGACACTAGCGGCCTATCAATGAATATTAGGCATGGAAGATAAAAATGAAAGGTTTTGTTTTATTTTTCACAGACACAAAGAACAGTATAAATGTAGGATCTAACTGTACCGAGGAAATATCTTATAATGCTGTAGCTGTCAAATGGAATGCACGTGATTCACCTGTAAAGGTAAAATTGTACATTACATTATTAGAAAATCAGTAAAAATCGTAGTGACCTTTTCTATGTACACCTTTGCACATTAAAAGGTGTTCAAGGATGATCTTATTTGAAACTGTTCTTACCATTTTGATTATAATACATTAGGGAATGTCGAGAAATAGGTTTAAAAAAATTATATTTTCTTTTCATTAATCATTATTTTATCGTAAGTGTTTTCGTCTGCTTGTGGAGATGGCAGGGTAGCATTATATTACAATAATGTGATTGTACTTCATGGACATGTGATAAATACACCATGTAGAGACTGTATATTTCATGAAATATGGCTTGAAATATGAGTAAAACATCATATAAAACTTTCATACTATCCAATTTCTACCTTACAATGAATATGACACTGTTAGTTTTTCAGAGCTGTTAAATAGCTCAACGTGAAGTTAATATAGGTACCTTCATTATTTATGGTACGTTTTTCTCATTTTTTATAGGTGAATATTGCGGTTCACTGTTTAAGCACTGACTTCAGTAATCAAAAAGGTGTAAAGGTAAGACCTATATGAATAAAATCCTAATAAAACATTCGCTTTTTCTCATTTCTTATATAATTATGATACATATAAGCATTTGAATCTACGACATGATAAAGTTATCAGTTTTTTATGTTAACGTTTCAAGATACATTTATGTCCGACATTTGTTGTCATCATACATAGAAATGTTGAAAAGTTTAGGACAATTATTACTTTTTGTAACAAATGATTAAAAAATGTTTTCAATTTAGATTGTCATCCAAACGATAACATTTTAACTAATTGCCAAGCACCGGTGTTAACACTTTTATATTAGAATTCATATCTCAATGTTCAATTAAACTTAATACATGTCTACGATATTATTATTATTATTAAACGTCACTGGCCAAGACCTACAACTCTAGCGTTAATGTTAACTGAATCATTTTTCTTTTAAGATACAAACTAATACTTCTCAGGTCGGCCGTATTATTTTTGTTACAGCTCTTGTTAGGTATTTTATATGGTTTTAAAGTTAAAACTTCTTAGTGTAGGCAAGGATACATAGTTGTTTAGATCATTGTTAGAGATTTGAAATATCAATAAATTCATCTTGGCATCAATAGTTAAGGCTTATACTTGTCCTCGCCTGTGTTTTTGGACTGTTGTAATTTCATTTCAGTAGGCATATATCTATTTCTATTTATAATAATAGATTTATCACGTAGTACAATGTCAGTTTTTATGTTTTATTAGGGGTTACCTCTCCATATCCAAGTGGACACATACGAGAATCCATCCAAAGATGCCTCACCTATTAGCAGAGGGTATTGTCAAATAAAAGTTTTCTGTGATAAGGTAAGAGTACTCACGATTTTATCCACCTTATTGAGTTATTTGACTTACAAAATAGCGGCGGTCTGCTTATTTCGGTATCAGGATCAGCTCGAAATTGTATATGAAGCTGTCTTGCATGTCAGAGAGGGTTATCTACCGTATCGGCGGTGCCTTTCACCCCCATGTGTGGCAAGCCGCGTGCTTTAAATGACGTCATTGCCGCGCACCTTTTATGAATGAATTGCGTTCTAAGGATGACGTCATTTTTCCGCTATGAATGAAGTTTGTAAGTTAATACGCTACTTTAGGAAAAAATGAACAATGAAAATATCAGTTTTCGTAATTTCTGTTCCGAGAATAAATGACATTTAATATGCAAGAAAAAGAATCAAACGTTGGCTGTCGGTACAGACGGGAATATCTAGCTCTCGGGTAACTGTTTAGCTGAAACTCGGCAGAGCCTCCGTACCGCCGTAAACAGTTACCCTCGAGCTAGATATTCGAGTCTGTACCGGCAGCCGGTGTAAGATTTTTATAGTCTATATCGATATCTAAAGCAAGTATAGTATAGGAAATCTTCTTATATTAGCTGAAACCTATGTTAAAATTGGTGCCAACTTTGAAGATGTTCTGCAATTCGCAGCACTGCTTACTAGCACTGGAAGTGGGGACAAAATCTGTTTCACAAATCGGATATCTATAGAGCAGAGCTTTTGAATTCATCAAATTGAAGGATGTTTCGTTGAATGTCTTGAATAGAAAGAAAACTGTGAAAAATGTATGTTTCTGTTGTTTTCATATTTGATTTGTTATTTATTATCTTGCCCGAATTTATAGAGGGTACTGTGAAAAGTGCGTTTCTTTTATTAGATATATGCTGTTCGTTTACCAACCCTATTACAAGTAGAGAAACTGATAACGAACAGCATGAATCCTGATGCGCAGGCTGGTCTGGATCCATACTGGTCGCAAACGCACTATGGTGGTTTTGTTATTACGCGGCTCATATCGTCTCCGAATTTTATAGGGTCTTGAAAAAAGAACATGTTTCTATTATTTTATAGGGTGCGGAAAGAAAGATACGTGATGAAGAAAGAAGGAAACAGTGTAGGGTCAACAAAACCGAAACTCAACCCGGAACTAAAGGTATCACAAACTGTAATCAGTTATTTTTCTCATTTACTAAGAAAATTCTTATATTTTGATTCGCATCAGATTCTTTAAATGTTCTTTTACATAAAATAACATCGGATGGTTATATGTGTAAACATTTACAGGTAAATTGTGCTAAATAAAAACAATGAATAATGTGTTTTTACAGCTCTTAGGAGGCGCCACGAGGAAGTGTACCATGAAGCTCTCGAAAGATCAGAATTTTACCCCATGGCGGACCTACTGTCTGAACCTATATTGTTTACACCTACATTTGAATGTAATGACTCTGCAAGGGTGAGTAGCTCATTAGAATTACGTGTCAGTGATTTTCTAGTCTTCCTATTGTTCTATTCCAAGTTTATTGATTCAGTTTTTGTTGTAAACGACTTCACTTCTACAACTTGCGTGAGATTGCCGTTTGAATATCGTTTTCATAAAAAATCATCCTGTGCGCTCAATGTTTTAGGTTCTAACGTTTAAATTACATTTATGTTTCTAGCCAAGCCCTGTGAATGTCTCAGTAACTGATGAGGACGGCAGCTCCAGGTAAGTCATATTTTACAATTGTAACATAATAAAACAGATACAGAGCTGTCAAATAATAATCTTATGTTGTATTATTAGTAAATGCCGACCTTTTCATGCAATAACATATACAGAAGCACGAGGACCTATTCTAAGCCCAAGTCAGCATAATAAATTCCGAGATCTTTTATAAATGTTAAGGCACGGAAAAGGGTGCATTATCGCTATTCTCGCATAAAGGTATTCGTCTGATTTGGTATACTTGTTTTCAATTTCTCTTTCAGCGCGCGAGTGTGTTATGTTTTGATTATGAAATAACCAGACCGTCATTGCAGATGTTGCACAATGAATAAACGCGTTACAGCGGCATGGGTTAATGTACACATGCAAACGCAATTTTATATGCAGGAATATGCATTTCTATCAACGTTCTCTATTTTGGTATTCAAAATGACTGAATAGAAAGTTTATATCCAATGATATACGAGACTCAACAGTGTCTTGTTTACTTATATCCATACAAAGCATTTGTAACAAATATTTCAGATCACAAATGATCACTTTTAAGCAGAATTTAGCAACATTTAAGATGTACAAATGTAGTTTAATATCATATTTATGTTGTTTACAGTATTACTAGTAGTGTAGAGCACTACGACAGCGCTGAAGATGGGATAAGCCCAGCCAAACGTCCTCGTACAGATTCCTATGTCCCTTATCAATCCTTTACTAATAGTAAGTATCTGAGAAAATTATGTATTTATTGCTGCATCAAATGACACGTAAAATCCAATGGCATATAATTGAGAATATATATAGCCTTGCGCAATTTGTTTCAAAGAATGTTTGATAAGAATTGTTATAATGCAACAGAAATATTTTAAACGTGGACATTTCATAAAGTGTAAGATATGTCTTTACAACATAAAGCTATTGAAGATATTGCTATATCTATACATGTTCTTTGATAGACAAACTGTAAGAATTACGTATTTTCGTTTATTAATATTGTTAGTTTGAATATAGAAATCAATGAAAGTTTAGAATTTAAAATTGTATTGTGCTACAATAAACCACAACGTTTCGACCCCAACATCTTCATTACTTATGAACTTGGTACAATTATTACTGATGGCATGAATTCTTAATTTCCACTAAAATATTTTCTTCATGTTTGGTCAATTAATCCTGATGGCATGAATTTTAAATATTTTATTAATTTCGTAGACTACAATTGTTTATTTTTTTATTTATAGTTCAAAACCAATTTCATGTCAATATGTAGTTTATGCTGGTGTTCCATTTTTACAATGTATTTTTGTTTTTATAATTTCAGTTTTATTATATGTTCGAGAGAAGCATGAAGTTGTATTCACAGCTATTATGTTACGATCCCCTACATTAAACGGTCTTTTACAAGCAGTAAGTAATAACAGAGTAATTTATTAAAAGTTAACCAGCTCAATTTGTTTCATGGATTTGCCCAAATTTGAATTATTATAAGATCAGTTCATTTAAAAGTTGGTATGATTTCAACACCCAGGTACAACAATTGAGCAGCTAACAATATAGAGCCTGGTCAGACTGCACAGACAGACAGACACTGAGACAGTCTCTACTGGCTCTAAGACTGTGCCAAAGGCAAATTACTTTTGGTTTCGGCAAAATATTTGGGTTCTTTAATATGCTTCATTCAAATAATAAAGCTATGTTTAAAGTAATTATAATTATTATTGTCATTATACAAATATTCATGTGTATATTTTGTGATTTAAGATTCTTGTTTTGAAATTTGTGTAAGTTCATGCTTGACCATTTGATTTAATGGTGAACCGATAAGATTACTCATGCTTTACAATAATTAGCAATAATTAGCAACAACTGCATGTGTGTGTATTCAACGATTCATCATGTTTTATATGATCTTTAGGTTGAGGAGAAGTATAAAGTACCTATGTCCAAAATCAAAAATTCTTACAAACGCTCAAAGAAAGGGTAAGAGCATTTCTTTTATTCTTTGATATTTTATATTACAAAATGTAAAGCCAAGATCTAAATAGAAATTTACGAGCTCCCGTCTGTAAGTTAAAATGAAACAGCAATAAACTAGAGAATGAATCCGGTTTTCATTTGTAGTAATTTGTGAAAGTTTGCCTTTATTTATTTATATCTTATTTATGTCAATTGTTTCAGAATGCTTGTTCGCATGGATGACATATATTACCGCCATTACTCAGCATGAATCAACATTTATCATCGAAACTGAAGAAGAAAAGACGATGTATTTGAATTGATTCTAACAGAAATTGACCCTTGCTGACAAAATCTATTAGATGTCGTCTGCTGCAGACGGATACACACAAAGACTCTATATTCTGGCGCCAGTTAGTAACCAACATTTGATTTATATCAGACACGGGGTCGAACCTGTAGTGGAAATAACAAACATGATTTGCATTAAGTGTAACATATTTAACATGCATTTGTAAGCTACAAACATGAAATAGGATTGTCATATGACCAATGTAAACATGTTGTGGTCTTCTTTAGCCACACATTATTACATAAGAAACCGATTTTGGACGTGGAATGCTACAAAGTTAAATGCATTTGCAATATCATTTTAACAAAACAGAAAGTAAAGGCTATCTAATATACTTACATGTAAATTATTCATTCCTTACGTGAATTTGATGCGAGTTCAATAAAAGTGCTATAGTACATGTAAAACTTACAATGGTGCTTTTTTTATCGGAAAGTGCGTTACAAGTATTCGATGATTGATACTTTGTAAATATGTTTCAAATGTGTTCATATTGTGCATATAATGTGAATAATTGGGAAAGAAAATAACACTGTTTATGCAAAAAATCGACTTACAAAAAATGGACATTTAAGTTTGCATTGCGCTGAGAGAAGACACAACATATCATTTTGTTTATTTACACATGTTTCTATGTTACCGAAAAGATCATGGTGTAACTATCAGTGTTTGGGTAAAGTTATATTAACTATTGTCATCGATTTTACTGCTGTTTTGTATACTTATAGTTTGACTATTGACTTTGTTGTTGTATAAATTTGTATTTTATAGAATTTTGATACTTTTACACGGAATGACCGTCCAATACTTGAACATTCCATTCAAATGTTTTTGTCATGTTTTTTGAAATATTTCAAATCGTTACTAACTTTAGAATTACGTTGATATACAGTATCATACAGTCTAATAGACGAAGATATTTTATATTGAGAATCAGATATTTAATGTTTACTTGTGCGCAATCCATAGATGGTCCATAAATTTAAGTATGTTTTTGTAGAGAACTCGCGTGTTGTGTGCTGTGTGTGGGATTGGGTGGGGAGGTTAAATGGCGGGATTTGTGCAGGTACAATATTTGTGTGTTGGGAAGGGGAGGGGACGGTGGGAGGAAAATTTGTGTAGGTACGATATTTGTGTGTGTGTGTGCGTGTGTGTGTGTGTGTGTGTGGAGGAGAAGAGGGGATGTTTGTAGGTACGATATGTGTGCGTGGGGGAGGGTCAATGGGGGATTTGTGAAGTACGATATTTTTGTAGGGAGGAGGGGGTAAGATGTTTAATGTGTTAAGATGGGTGTGTGTGTGTGAGAGAATGATTTGTTTGACAGCATATATGAAGTATTCGATGAAAAATAGAGAATAATGTACATATACATTCGTAGTAACGATTTTGAAAATTAGAATAGCATAATTTCTATCTAGTTGTTGAAGAAACTGACTTACATCTACTTTTTTTCTGTAACTACCGTTTAAAATTTAAATGTGTTTTCATATTGATATTAATCTTAAATTACATGTGATTTATGCTCAAAGCTATTTTATAACATTCCATTATTTATAAATATATTCATATAAGAATAAACATTACAAAACATTAATAATACCATTTGAACTGCTAGGTAAGTGACAGGCATCAAAAAATATGTTGATAGTCTGGTGTTCTCAAAAATATTTTTTTCTAGTCAGGTCCTCATAAGTATACCATGTCCTCATAAATATTTCCATGACATATAATATCATCATTTCAATATGTTACATAATTGTTTGTTGACGAAACTGTTAAGCTGTATTATGTTGAGTTTTTAAGACAGTTTATCGAATAGATTATTCCTTGATATGATTCTATTATAAGGTTATACTTGATGTCGTAGAGCAATTTACAATTTGTTAGAGAAAGATATTTTGTTTATTTATATGTTTGAATTAACAAATTAAAAAAGAGATATATTTTACACCCACAGAAATTCAGAGTTGATATTTAAATGATAATTGTTTATGTTTTTGATACATGTATTACATAATTTATGTTTCATACAATAGCAATAAATTTCAAATAAACACATTGACTTTATTTCTATTTACTTGATTATCGATAAAAGGTATAGATAAATGAAAATAAACACCTTGTATAAAATTTGCTAAACTGGTGTAGTGACAAGTTTTAGGAACATGGAGGATCAAAACACATCTGCTTTAAAAGCCTGAATGTATCAATATTTTCCAGCTTTGATAGCATAAATGCAGGAATGCTTTTCGAATTGATAGCCTCAATCCTGCAAAATTATCTGATTGAAATCTATCTGTTCTTATTCAATCCAGGCCGAAGCGGCCAATTGGTAAATTTTTACTTGATCTCTTCCATGCAAGGAAACTACTCCGCTAAATTTGTGATGGGCGGTGCCCACTCGTTCCTTTCATATCTCTAATATAGCTAGAAAATCATAAAAATCAATGTCAGTGCATTTGTGACGTAATAAAACTCAACAATAAGAACAAAATCAATGAAAAAGAGTCATTTAAAAAAATATATGAAAAGATGTTTTAATACAACTATTAAATCATTATAGATGTAAAAATTTGTTTTATGACAAAGACATGAATAATTCTCTTGCAGTAACAATGTTTCCTGAATTCAAACATTGATCATTCTTATGATAGAAGTTAACTTTTGTAAAGACGTAAGCAAAATCGTTTGTCAGCGCACTGATCCTATTCTTCCGATACAAAATGAATATATTTGAAAGAATGAAACTGACAACTTTGAGTGGAAGAATTTATAGTCTATATATCTGTTTAAGCGATACAATGGATTATATCTTTAAACAACTAAAGGGAAATAATTGTAATTTTTTTATGATCCTCTTCAAATTGTAAGTAATCTAAACAAATACAAGAAACCGACAATATACCTTTAAACTTATAAGAAATATATGTAAAATATATGTGAAAATAGTTATTATCATTAGATAATTAGTAGAAAAAGATCGGTGTTCGGGTAAATTGGTCTTTAATGTGATTTTTGTTTTGAATATCATTCATACTTTCTCCATGAATACGTATGCCAGTACATGTATCATGTTAACGATGATTATAACATTTAAATTATTTAGTTTTTGAAATAAGAGCATAGATAGTATAGGCTTTGGTTAAAATGTATATGAAGTTTTTTCCCTATTGGCCTTAATTTAAAAATAGCACGATTTCTGCATGATGTGACAGATATTCGATATAATGTAAAACTGACTGCGAAATTGATTAGAGGAATTTTTTGATTATACGAGGATTGATAAAAAAGTTCTTGGCCCGATGTACATCCGGTAGTCAGAGAACCTAACTAATGCTCTTACTTTTCAATATAATCACTCTCTACATCAATGCACTTTGCCCACCTATTCTCCAACTTGTTTAACCCTTCAAAACAGAACTCACAAAGAACAAATTTACCGCCTCCATGACACCTTCATTGCTTCCAAAACGTCTACCACGAAGCTTTGTTTTCAGTTCCGGAAACAGGTAGAAGTCAGAGGGGGCAAATCCAGAGAATATGGGGAATGGGGTATAATTTCAAAGCCGCAATCAGTTGCAGCAGCCATCGCAACTTGGGATGTGTGAGCTGGCGCATTGTCGTGCCGGAGCAGAACGCCTTGAGTCAGTTTGCCCCTCCTTAAACGAGCGATTTCTTGACGCAGACATCTCAGTTCGTCTGCATAGTACGTACCGTTTATGGTACGACCTTGCTCAAGATAGTCAATCATGATTATCCCCTGACTATCCCAAAAAATGAAGTCATCATCTTCCCTGCTGATGGCACCCTCTTGAATTTCTTCGGAGGGGGTGAGCCAGGGTGCTTCCACTGCATGCTCTGTTTTTTGGATTCTGGATCGAAGTGATGGACCCATGTTTCATCCTGAGTTACGATCCGGTAGATAAAACCAGGTTCATCCTCGTAGCGAGACAAAAGATATCATGAAATGTCAAGACTTGTCTGAATCTGGTCGTCATTCAACTATCTGGGGCTCCATCTAGCGGAAACCTTTGACATTCCGTAGACATCAATCAGACCTGGACTGAACCAAAGCTTATACCCATTTCCCTAGCAATGCTTCGCAGGTCTCGCCTTCTGTTGCACATGACCAGATCGTGCACAGGTTCGACAGTTTCATCGTTGGTTGCCTCTTTTGGCCGCCCAGGCCGCTCATCATCTCCAATGCTCTCCCTGCCCCTCTTAAATTCAGCAGCCCATTTTTCACAGTGCTTTAAGAAGGGGACTCCTTCCCAAGTGTATCCATGAAGTCTTCATGGATTTCTTTGGGGGACATCCCTTTCTAACAGAGGTACTTAATGACGGCTTTTTTAAACTTTTTTCATATGGTCTAAATAACACACCCCTCTACTGATCAAGTGTGTTTTATGTTACTTTATATGTGTAAAAGCGCGTGTAACTCGGTCAGTAATCTTCAATTAGATATCGGTATCGACGTATCGTGAATAAATGTCAATGTAGTGGCTAGAAGTATATCGGGCCGAGAACGTTTTGATCATACCACGTATTTTTTTCCGATAAATCTAGCAATTGTTCGACAAAGCACATTGCATTTCATTCTGTTATACGGCAATTGTGCCATAACAATCACTGACACATATCAAACACAAATTCAAAACTGAAAAAAATGTGTATATCAACAAAGTAAACTTTACTTTAAACAAAGAAAAATTAATTTAATATTAAAAGAAAGAAATAACCTTTTCCATTCCATAATCTTTTGAAAGAAAAAAAGCGGGCGTAGAAAAGAGCATTAATTTCGCAAAAGGCTCATTGAATATGAAAAACAAGATCAACAAGGAAAGGCGGCGTTCAATGAATTGAAGTTAACTCAGTTTATATTTATATCCATATACATTTGCATATGATATAAGAATAAACATCAACAGCACAGTGCAACAGATCGACAGAGCTCAGCCCCGAAATATCATGTCCAGTACACCAGTAGAAACACTAAACCGAAACAAAGGTTTGGGTGGGAGTGAGAGTAGGGGGTAGTGATATTTGTTTGGTTTTAACAGAACAACAACACAATATTTGTCATCTTGTGCCGGATATTTTCTTTATTATCGTGCATTTAATCAGTCAGGCATAATGAACTTTCATTCATTACAAACAATGTTAAAATGGGTGCCTTCAATAGGGTCATATTTACTAAAATCGATTAGGTCGTACAACATTAAAAGTGATACTAAACATGATTTGCGTCAATGTTATATAGGTAGCGTTTTGGACCGTAAATGGTTTAGTTTCAATGTTATCTGTTAATGGCTGTTGATTCTTTTGTGGTTGTGAGTAGACAGTGAATGTCAATGTCATGTTAACGTTGTTTTTTTTTCTGACAGAATGTCAGGTGATATACAAGTAAGATCTAGTTTTAGAATCTGTTCGTTTCGTCGAAGGTATAATCAAAAGTAACTTTGTTCCTGAAAGTGGCCATCTAATTTATTTGATTCATTTCCCAATGAACTGAATTTACTCCTGACTTGCGCTATCAAGTTCGCTAAAAGTTTTCATCTTTTTCTATGGTGTCCTGTTTGAGGCAGTTAAAATATCGCCTGTTAAGATTAAAAACTGACTAAAATCTCTTGTCTTAGCTCGACTATTCGAATAACAGGGAGAGCTATTTTAATCACCCAGGCATCGGTGTCTCTTTAGTTGTGTATTTGCGTGCAGTTTGGTATGTCAAACTACTGAAGGGAATGGGTTGAAACATCACACATTTTATTTGAAAGCATAACAGAAAATCACCATATAAAACCTAAAACTCTAATGAGGAGTTCTACAGAACTATTGTCCTTTTTGAAGTTATACACTACACTATAATTATCGAAGGAATGATGCGATAATTAAGGTTAATCATCGGGAAGATTTTCACTTTTTTCCACGAAGATTTAAGTTAAGCATGCGTAAACTTCAACGTTGAGTGGCGCCAAAAAATTCACGCAAGAATGTAAAATCTTGCTACTTTATCTATAAAATAACAAAAGGGCGGATATGATGTTTAGAAAAAAATAAGCATGTCAATAGATATCCTTTGATTGTCCAAAGCAAGACATCGTACATTCCAGCTGCGTCTTCTTGCAGAACATGCATTAACTGATAGATTCTTCTGACCACATCATGTTTTAATATGCATGATTCGGGACGTAACGTAGTACAATGATGGCCCGTTAGTTTTATTGTCAACACTTACTTGTCAAATGACAGATAATAAATGACATTTACCTTTTTGTTGTATGTCGATTCTCCATCTTGGATGGAAGCACCGTAACACGGAAAATCCGCAACGTTTCACGTACCAGACAGTGTTCGTACATGCACGTGGAAAGCATGGCACAAGTGATGTTTTTTTAATACAAAAATAAATCGACTAAGAACCTCGACAATTTATCAGAAAAGCTATACATTTATCATGAAAACTAAGTTAGTAATTAGTAACTCAAACGTAATTAATGATATATGAATTAACAGATCACACCCACAAAGCGATTGTTGGAAAAAGGATTTGTTTTTTCCGGCAATTACTGCAGATATTCTATATTGTTTCTTATTGTAAAGAAATTATTCATCTAAGATTTCCCGCGTTCATCTTCTGTGATAAATTTCTAAATCAACGGTCTAGTAAGAAAGTGTCAAATCATATCAATAGTTTATGAGAATTCCATACCAATTTGTTATTTTTCCGTCATTCACATAAATGCATGCGACAGTTATTTGCCATTTCCGAGATTTTTTTTCTCATAATTCAATTAAGCAAGTTTGTCTTAACACTGACCATACCTTTAATGTACTGATTAACGAGTTCTTAATGATAATTTTACCCTCTTTTGTCGTTAGTATTTAGCTGATTTTATTTGAAATGTAAGGTATTTCCTTTTTCTCTCAATATATTACAAACGTCACTATAAAAACCAACAACTATTTTCTCGGTATGATGATGTTACTTCGTCATAAGGTTAATATATAAAACTATTGTATAAAAATTTGATATGTAAACTTGAAAGTCAATTCTGTATATGGAATCTTAAATGGGAGTACTTTTTAAGAAATGTTGTCGTTGAATTTGATATGCAATGTCTTAGTATAAAGTATTTTGTTTTTCTTGTACTGAAATATTGCTTTGAAGGTAAAGCTTTACTTTGTTGTCCTATATTGTATATTTGGCTATAATAAAGTGCACATTGGATCTGTCAAATGTACACGTTATTAATGATTTATACAAATCATCTGTCAAACAGTAAATGAAAGATGATTTGATATTACAGCGTCAGACAGAATGCGATGTTGCTTCTCACAAACAATTTCTTATATTGTTGATGTCCTTTTATCTTATTGAAAAAATACGACAAAGTCAGTTAAATGATAATAATAGTTTTCTGTGATAAGGTAAGTGTACTCACGATTTTATCCACATTATTGAGTTATTTGACTTACAAAGAAGCGGCGGTCTACTTATTTCGGTATCAGGATCAGCTCGGAATTGTATATAAAGCTGTCAATATCGACATCTTAAGCAGTTTTAATATAGGAAATCTTCTTATATTAGCTTAAACCTATGTTAAAATTGGTGCCAACTTTGAAGTATGTTCTGTAATTGCTTGCTAGCACTGGAAGTGAGGACAAAATATGTTTCACAAAACGGATATAATTTGAGCAGAGCTTTGGAATTCATCAAAAAGCATGATTCTTTGAATGTTTTGAATAGAAAGAAAGCTGTGAAAAATGTATGTGTCTGTTGTTTTCATATTTGATTTATTATTTATTATCTTGCCCGAATTTATAGAGGGTACTGTGAAAAGTGCGTTTCTTTTATTAGATATATTGTTTCCGAATTTTACAGGGTCCTGCAAAAAGTACATGTTTCTATTATTTTATAGGGTGCTGAAAGAAAGATACGTGATGAAGAAAGAAGGAAACAGTGTAGGGTCAACAAAACGGAAACTCAACCCGGAACTAAAAGTATCACAAACTGCAATCAGTTATTTTTCTCATTTACTAAGAAAATTCTTACATTTTGATTCGCATCAGCTTCTATAAATGTTCTTTTACATAAAATAACAACTGATGGTTATATGTGTAAACATTTACAGGCAAATTGTGCTAAATAAAAACAATGAATAATGTGTTTTTACAGCTATATATATTATTAATTTAGTAGACTACACTTGTTTTTTTTATTTATAGTTCAAAACCAATTTCATGTCAATATGTAGTTTATGCCTGTATTCCATTTTTACATTGTATTTTTGTTTTAATAATTTCAGTTTTATTATATGTTCGAGAGAAGCATGAAGTTGTATTCACAGCTATTATGTTACGATCCCCAACATTAAACGGTCTTTTACAAGCAGTAAGTAATAACAGAGTAATTTATTAAAAAATAACCAGCTCAATTTGTTTCATGGATTTGCTCAAATTTGAATTATTATAAGATCAGTTCATTTAAAAGTTGGTAGGATTTCAACACCCAGGTACAACAATGGAGCAGCTATAGAGCCTGGTCAGACTGCACAGACAGACATACAGACAGACAGACAGACAGACAGACAGTGACAACTGCATGTGTGGGTATTCAACGATTCATCATGTTTTATATGATCTTCAGGTTGAGGATAAGTATAAAGTACCGGTGTCCAAAATCAAAAATTCTTACAAACGCTCAAAAAAAGGGTAAGGACATTTCTTTTATTCTTTGATAATTTATATTACAAAATGTATAGCCAAGATCTAAATTGAATATCTGTGTTTCCTTAAATCGTAGTGTAAGTTTTACTTTTGCATTATAGGAGGTTTTCTGGCATTAAAAACAGAAGGCTTCAAAAATTTATATTCATTATCCACCAAAACACTTTAGTAGAGTCTGTAACTATCAAGTCAAACAACTGGAAAAATGTATATTCTATTTTTACGAGTATTCGTCTGTAAGTTAAAATGAAACATAAATAAACTAGAGAATGAATCTGGTTTTCATTTGTAGTAATTTGTGAATGTTTGCCTTTATTTATTTATAACTTATTTATGTCCATTGTTTCAGAATGCTTGTTCGCATGGATGACAATATTATCCGCCATTACTCGCATGAATCAACATTTATCATCGAACTGAAGAAGAAAGACGATGTATTTGAATTGATTCTAACAGAAATTGACCCTTGCTGACAAAATCTATTAGATGTCGTCTGCTGCAGACGGATACACACAAAGACTCGATATTCTGGCGCCAGTTAGTAACCAACATTTGATTTATATCAGACACGGGGTCGAACCTGTAGTGGAAATAACAAACATGATTTGCATTAAGTGTAACATATTTAACATGCATTTGTAAGCTACAAAAATGAAATATGATTGTCATATGACCTATGGAAACATGTTGTGGTCTTCTTGTGGCTACACATTACTACATAAGAAACCAATTTTGGACGTGGAACGCTACAAAGTTAAATGCATTTGCAATATCATTTTAACAAAACAGAAAGTAAAGGCTATCTTATATACTTACATGTAAATTATTCATTTCTTACGTGAATTTGAAGTGAGTTCAATAAAAGTGCTATATTACATGTAAAACTTACAATGGTGCTTTTTTTATCGGAAAAGTGCGTTATAAGTATTTGATGATTGATACTTTGTAAATATGTTTCAAATGTGTTCATATTGTGCATATAGTGTGAATAATTGGGAAATAAAATAACACTGTTTATGCAAAAAAATCGACTTACAAAAAATGGACATGTAAGTTTGCATTGCACTGAAAACACGATATCCGAGAAGACATAACATATCTCTTTGTTTATTTACACATATTTCTATGTTACCGAAAAGATCATGGTGAAACTATCAGTGTTTGGGTAAAGTTATATTAACTTTTGTCATCGATTTTACTGCTGTTTTGTATACTTATAGTTTGACTATTGACTTTGTTGTTGTATAGATTTGTATTTTATAGAATTTTGATACTTTTACACGGAATGACCGTCCAATACTTGAACATTCCATTCAAATTTTTTTGTCATGTTTTTTTAAATATTTCAAACCGTTACTAGCTTTAGAATTACGTTGATTCTAATAGACGAAAATAATTATATATTGAGAATCAGATATTCATCTTTTTCTTGTGCGCAATCCATAGACGGTCCATAAATTTAACTATGTTTTGTAGAGAAATCGCTTGTCTGTGTGTGCTGTGTGTGGGTGGGGTGGGGAGGGTAATTGGCGGGATTTGTTTAGGTAAAATATTGGGAAGGGGAAGGGACGGTGGGAGGAAAATTTGTGTAGGTACGTAGGTACGATATTTGTGTGTGTATGTAGAGGAAGAGGGGGATGTTTGTAGGTACGATATTTGTGCGTCGGAGAGGGTCAATGTGGGATTTGTGAAGTACGATATTTGTGTAGGGAGGGGAGGGTAAGATGTGAAATGTGTTAAGACGTGTGTGTGTGCGTGTGTTGGTGTGTGTGTGTGTACGAGAATGATTTTTGACAGCATATATGAAGTACTCGATGAAAAATAGAGAATAATGTACATCTTAATTGTAGTAACGATTTTGATAAATAGAATAGCATAATTTCTATCTAGTTGTTGAAGAAACTTTGACTAAGATCTACTTTTTTCTGTAACTACCGTTTAAATTTTAAATGTGTTTTCATATTCATATTAATCTTAAATTACATGTGATTTATGCTCAAAGCTATTATACAACATTTCATTATGTATAGATATATTAATATAGAAATAAACATTACAAAACATTAATAATACCATTTGAACTGCTAGGTAAGTGACAGGCATTAAAAAATATGTTGATAGTCTGGTGTTCTCAAAAATATTTTTTTCTAGTCAGGTCCTCATAAGTATACCATGTCCTCATAAATATTTCCACGACATACAATATCATCAATATATTACATAATTGTTTGTTGACGAAACTGTTAAGCTGTATTATGTTGAATTTTTAAGACAGTTTATCGAATAGATTATTCCTTGATATGATTCTATTATAAGGTTATACTTGATGTCGAAGAGAAATTTACAATATGTTAGAGAAAGATATTTGTCTATTTATAAGTTTAAATTAACAAATTAAAAAAGAGATATATTTTACACCCGACAGAAATTCATAGTTGATATTTAAATGATAATTGTTTATGTTTTTGATACATGTATTACATAATTTATGTTTCATACAATAGCAATAAATTTCAAATAAACACATTGACTTTATTTCTATTTACTTGTATTGACGTTAAAAGGTATAGATAAAGGAAAAAAGAAAAAACACTTTGCCAGGTGTATTGACAAGTTTCAGGAACATGGAGGATCAAAATACATCTGCTGTAAAAGCCTGAATAGCCTCTTTGATAGCCGGAATGTAGCAATATTTTCTCGCTTTGATAGCCTGAATGCTTAGAATACTTTTCAACTTGATAGCCTCAATGCTGCGTCACGACAAAACCAACATAATTGGTTTGCGACCAGCATGGATCCAGCCTGCGCTTCCGCGCAGTCTGATCAGGATCCATGCTGTTCGTTATCAGTTTCCCTACTTGTAATAGGGTTTGTAAGGGAACAGCATGGATCCTGATCAGATTGCGCGGATGCGCAGGCTGGTCTGGATCCATGCTGGTCGCTTACAAACCCATTATGTTGGTTTTGTCTTGACGCGGCTCTAATCCTTAATCAAATTGGACCGAAGCGGCCAAGTGGTTAATTTGCCATTGACAGTGAAAGGGTTTGTCGGTACTCTAGATCTCTTCCATGTAAGCTAACTTTGTGATGAGCGGTGCCAGTTCGTGTCCTTTCATATCACTTATAAAGTTAGAAAGTCAACAAAACACCATAACAGTACATTTGTGACGTAATAAAACTCAATCATTAAAGCAAAATCAACAGAAAAGAGTCATGGCATTTCAAAAAGAAAATAGACAAACATATGTTTTAATGAAACTTAAAAAGTATCAAAGATGTAAGAATTTGTTTCATGACAAATACATAAATAATTCTCTTGCAGAAAAATATTTCCGGAATATCAAACATTGATCAGTCTTGTGATAGAAGTACAAGGTGTAAGGGCGTAGAACTGACCCCATCGTCATGCTTTTCTTTCGTGCGATACCAATTGAAAATATTTAAAATAATAAAATTGGCAACTTTGTATGGAACAATGTATAGACAAATACTTATTTGTTTGAGCGATGCAAAGGATTACCTTTATGTACCGCATTCTTAAACAACTAAAGGGAAATAACTAGTTTTTATGATCATTTTGAATTCAAAACAAGTTTCATGAATCGAAAGAATGCCTTTTAAAGTTTTAAGAAATATATGTAAAATATTTGTGAAAAAATAGTTACTACGATTAGGTTATTAGTAGAAAAATGATCAGTGTTCGGATAAATTGGTCTTCAATGTGATTTTTGTTTTGAATATCATTCATATTTCCTCCATGAATATTCCAGTACATGTATCATATTAACGATGAATATAACATGTAAATTATTCAATTTTTGAAGTAAGAGCATAGATAGTATAGACTTTGGTTAAAATTTATATGAAGTTCTTTTTCCTATTGGATTTAATTTGAAAATAGCACGATTTCTGCATGATGAGACAGAGATTCGATATAATGTTAAACTGACTGTGAAATGGATTAGAGGAAGTCGATTACATTTTTCCGACGGAAAACAAAGAATCACATAAATCGTACAATTTTTCGACAAAGCACATTTTATTTCATTCTGTTATACGACAGTTGTTCCATAACAATCACTGACACATAATAAACACAAATTAAAAACTGGAAAAATGTGTATATCATTAAAGTAAACTTTATTTTAAGCAAAGACAAATTATTTTAATATAAAAAGAAAGAAATAACTTTCTCCAATCCATAATCTTATGAAAGAAAAAAGCGGGCAAAAGACGCATTGAAGTTAACTCATTATATATTTGTTTCCATATACATTTGCATAGGATATAAGAATAAACATCAACAACACAATGCAACAGATCGACAGAGCGACAGAGCTCAGCCCCGAAATATCATGTCCAGTACACCAGTAGAGACACCAAACTGAAACAAAGGTATGGGTGGGAGTGAGAGTTGGTGTAGTGATATTTGTTTGGTTTTAACGGAACAACAACACAATATTAGTCATCTTGTGCCGGATATTATCTTATTATCGTTCATTTTTTTCAGTCGGGCATAATTAACTTTCATTCATAACAAACAATGTTAAAATGGCTGCCTTCAATAGGGTCATATTTACTAAAATCGACATTAAAACAGACACTAAACATGAATTGCGTCAATGTTATATAGATAGCGTTTTGGACCTTAAATGGTTTAGTTTCAATGTTCATCTGTTAATGGCTGTTTGAGGTTTTTGTAGATCAGGGGAGTCAATGAATGTCAATGTCTTGTTAATGTTGTTTTTTTCTGACAGAATGTCAGACGATATACAAATAAGTTCTAGTTTCAGAATTTGTTCGTTACGTGGAAGGTAATAATTAAAAGTAACTTTGTTCCTGGAAGTGGCCATCCAATGTACTTGACTCATTCTTTTGATGAGCTGAGTTTACTCCTGACTTGCACTATCAAGTTCGCTACAAATTTTTATCTGTTTCTATGGTGTATTGTTTGAGGCAGTTAAAATATCGCCTGTCAAGTTTAAATACTGACTAAAATCTCTTGTCTTAGCTCGACTATTCGAAAAATAGGGAGAGCTATTTCAATCACCCAGGCATCGGTGTCTCTTTAGTTGTGTATTTGCGTGCAGTTTGGTATGTCAAACTCCTGAAGGGAATGGGTTGAAACATCACACATTTTATTTGAAAGCATAACAGAAAGTCACCATATAAAACCTAAAACTCTAATGAGGAGTTCTACAGAACTATGGTCCTTTTTGAAGTTATACACTACACTATAATTCTCGGAGGAAAGATGCGATAATTAAGGTTAATCATCGGGAAGATTTTTACATTTTGTTTTTTTCACGATGATTTAAGTTAAGCATGAGAAAACTTCAACGTTGAGTGGCGCCAAAAATTTCACGCAAGAATGTAAAATCTTGCTTCTTTATCTATAAAATTACAAAAGGGCGCATATGACGTTTAGAAAAAAATTAGCATGTCAATAGATATCCTTTGATTGACCAAAGCAAGACATCGTACATTCCAGCTGCGCCTTCTTGCCGAAGTAAGAAGACACTTTTTTGAATAGCTCTGCTAGGGGTATATAAGTATAATACGCATGTAATATGCATTAACAGAAAAGAAAACATGCATTAACTGATAGATTTTCCTGACCACATGTTTTAATATGCATGATTCGGGGCGTAACTTAGTACAATGATGTCCCCGGTAGTTTTATTGTCAACACTTACTTGTCAAATGACAGATAATAAATGACATGTACCTTTTTGTTGTATGTTGATTCTCCATCTTGGAAAGAAGCACCGTAACACCAAAAATCCGCACCGTTTCACGTACCAGACAGTGTTCGTACATGCACGTGGAAAGCATGGCACAAGTGGCTTCTGCAGATGTTAATGTACGAAAAACAGTTTCATTAACCCACTATTATAGCAACCAAAAATGCGTGTAAAGAGTGGTGAAAATTACAGGATAGTGGGACGTAGTAATGTAAAATACTTTTTGGAAACCAGTTCATTATAATAAGTATAAGTTTAAGTATAAGTTTATTTGAATATTCTATTCGACCAAATGGTCCATGAGGATAAACAGACACATAATAAATGACAAGACATGCAGAAAATGTAAAGCATATACATGTACATACAATAACATGTGTAAGTGGAGAAGGTATACACAAAATTGTATATCATCATTGAAAATAATTATCATAACAAAAGGATATTAAACTTTAAACATAACGATTAATAAATTACCACTGTCTAACAAAACTTACGGAGAGGAATACTTCATATATTGTATTGAATTAATTGGACAAGATACATGTATATATATAATGCATCATATAAATTTATATTCATACTTGCTCGTGTATGTGTATGTTGTTCTTGTCGAATCAAAATATAAGA